ACTCATGGCTAAAGGCTTTGCCTGAATAAGTAGGTGAGCATGGGGTGGTCATGTCCTTGCTGGAAGCCCACGTTGCCCGCACGTGTGCCAAACTTCACGTGACTCGTGGAAACCCTTGCGTATCGGACTGCAAGTCAACTTAATAAAACGCATCACCTGAAACAACGATAGGCAAACTGCAAATCATGGTACAATGACTTCTACTAATGTTGACCTCATATTAATCAACCCCAGTTTATTGAAAGGTGGTGTAAAGCATTTTCAGGCACCCAGAAGCACGAGAAATGTCAAGCCATGGGCTACCTTAAAACCCACCTGCGTGCAAGCGCGCCCTGCCTCTCTCTATCTCTGGCCGCCTGCAGAAGCAGTGCCCCCCCACTCTCTTGCGGTTGCGCGGTATTTGGGTACCACCTTTTTTTGGTTGTTCCGCTTTAGTGTAGCTCAACATCAGCCCCACAACGTCCAGCTCTCCCTTTTGCTTATTACCTGTGCAAGAACTCCAAGAGGTTATGAAAGCAGCTGGCACAATTGCCTTTAATCCTGAGTGGACTTGCCAAAAACAAAGAAAGTCCTAACTTGTTGCTGGCCACTAAAAGCCATAGAGAGCCAAGCAGTTTTAAGTCAATGAGCTCAGGGGAGTGAGAAGTACAGCTGCCATCTTTCACCCAAGCGTACCCCCAAGAAAAACAGACTCCATGTTGGGGAGGCGCTGCCTGTTTCGAGACACAACGCAGATCGCATGAAGCCACGAACAGCGGCGTGCTCTCGGCATGTGAACCTTTTGGACTCAGGGGGTACGGTTGGTTCGGTACGCACGGCTGGTGCGGTTTCCTCGCCCGACCGCCCACCCAAGCAAAACCGTGGGGTTCCCTCAGCCTTTAAGGGGGAAAAACCGGGTAACTTAAGACTCATTTGAGCTCTAGAGCTTCAATTTTCTGGGGCAGTGATTCTTCTTACTTGAGTCATTTCCCTACGGGCAACGCACTGTCCAACCCTTGGCTTGCCAAAAAGCGCTGGTCTGGCAGCCTGGCACTAGAACAAAACCAGGAGCAGAACCAAAAAAAAACACCCGAACACATGCCGGAACATGACAAGAACAGCTTGCAATTTGACCAAATGGGTGTCTCTTAAAATGGTATCCCCAAAATGGTTGGTGTCCCTTCTCGTTTCCCTTTGAACACCAACAAGAAGGGGGTTCTCCAAAAACCTCACACCCCCAGATTGGGCTCCATGAACATTTTTGAGGGAGCGCTTTCAGTGGGTCTGTGCAGAACCCCCCCGCTGCCCGGCCGTTGCATCGTCCAGCTGCTTCTTCATCTGCGCCATGGCATTCTTGGCCTAGGGGGCATTGGCATCGCCCATGACGTCTCAAGCTTTCAACGGCAGCTTTCACTGGCAACAGCTTTCAAACAACCAGTAGCCCATGTTCTGTGTTCTGGCCTCTTTATGTCGCCATGATCAAAGTCACCCCCTAAGTGATGGGTTTAAGGTAAACACCCCCATTTTCTGCATTTGATAACCTCTAGAAACGGTCAAAATAATGACCCGGCCGTCAGTTTGCCGTTTTGCTGGGGTGAGAAAGGCTTGTCAAAACAACTGACATGGCTTGCAAACTGGCGAAAACAAACCGTGCCAGTGTGCATAACATGACACTTTCTGTTAACAAGAGCATAGTAGATGATCGGCACGGCGTCCGCCAACTCAAACCAGGCCCATAGGAAAAGGTTGGTGCACAAATTATCTGACTCATATAGTTGGTAAACATCGGGTGACACATAGGGAGCTGCAACCCACAGACCCAAAGTAAGGGCACCGGGCACCTTATAAAAGGAAACCTTCAGGAACGTGATGTTGCTACTTCCAGTTTGCTTATTTGAGGTGCAGCTAAATCAGTCATGGCACCTCAGAGTATAACCCGTCCTGTTGCTGGGAGGTCTGAATCCCCAGTGAAAGGGGACATCTCCATATTACTCGGGTTCACTTGCTGAGTGGGTTGGCCCACAAAAGTGCAAACTGGCTTTTTACCGCCCAAATGGTCCAAACCCAACAAGTTTCAACTACATGAACTCGGGAAATTCTGGAAGCATGGCGATTCTTCTCTTGGGGAAGCCCCCTGTCCGCTTCCATGATTGTTGGACAGAAGGTAGTACGGGGAGTGTCCCCTTTTATCAAGTGGGAATTTGATTCCACTTTGTTGGGTGACACCCCTATTAGCACGGGTTGATTGTTCCGGGGTCAACATTAGAGGGTACTCAGTTGCCCTTATATCTGTCACCGGACTTCCCTTCACAAGACGGCAATTCCAGGCTCTCTCAGCGATACTTGCGTCTCAACGACGCAATTACATATGAGACTGAGTTTTCACACTCTCAAATGGAGACTGGTTTTGAGCACGACAAAAGTTTGGGAAAAAATAACTGCTTTTTGGCGAGTGCTGGTTTTCCCCTTCGTGCTGCTACTGTTTTTGCTCTGCGCAGCCTCCATGGGCGAGCCTTGGCTTTGAGGGTCCTAAGTACCACATACTTCAGGTTTTGGCTTCGATTCAAGAGGGATTCGTCAATTACAGGTTCCTCAAATCCGGAAAAATATGAGGTACTTGGACCCTCTGGCTCCAGCTTGCCAGTTTGTAAAAAGTGGGTCAGACATATAGGTACCCCCAAAATAGAGCCCTAAATGGAAACATGGACTGAAATCTGCGGTCTGATTTTTTGACCCATACCCGACTACAACCCCCTCCTGCTTCCCAGAAAAGAAAAAACAACAATGTCGTTGTGATTTTGAGGTGGTATTTAAAAAAAAAAAAGAATCTCCCTGAGGGAAGTCGAGTTTCCAGTCTTCCCCGCCTTGGCCAGCTGCGCCTGCAGCCGGGCATTCTCGGAGCGCAGGTCCTGCCAAAAAGGCGCCCGGAGGATGAGGCGTGGCGTCCCAAAATCTGCAAGAAACGGCTCGGTTTCCTTTTTGGTGTTGCAAAACACAAACCAAAATGGATCATAAGAATGGGCACTAAATGTGCCCAAATGGAGTCTTTTCGGAAGGAAAAGCGTTTTGGGGATGGACAAAAATCACTCCGCAAAATCGAGATTGATGAAACACTATGAATAGTGGGATGAACCACCCAGTTGCGGCAGGAATTCATGCATCTGCAGGGAAACTTACCTTGCCTGACGTGCACAAAAATGACATGGGAAATAGAAGGTTTGTTTGCCCCTGTGGGGATTGCGGAAACGTGCAACCAGCGGAGTTTAATCTTGGGCCGAGTTGGTTTGGTGGAAAGGAGCATCCTTAGGGCCGATTTCAGCGAAGCCTCCAAGGGTGCTACACAACTGCGAGATGCGTGTCTTTTTTTTGAAGGACCTGCCAACAATCCGTGGTTTTCCTTTTGGTTCCCGTTGAAGCCACAGAAAGGGGTCCCTCTCGAAAGAAGACACGCTCAGACGTACCTCCAACCGCAAGTAGCTCTGACAAGTGCCAGCCATCGCGCCCCAAGTGTTTCCGTTTTCCAGAGAAGGGCCGCGTACGTTTGGCTTCCAGCGTTTTCGGCGCAAATCTGAGAGACCTCCTGAGGATGCACGAAAATGTGCGCCACTTTGAGACCATGGAAAACCATAGTTTGCGGATATTTACAGGAGAATCATCATTTACAGGGTTTCTTAGGTGGTGCGGAATGGATTTCGTCCATCCACAGTAGCTCCCTTTTGCCAGCAGGGAACACACAAACACAGGCAACCAACATCTCCAGTTCAAGCATGGGTCACAGCAAACTCCTGAAGACGCTCGGGGGAAGGCACAACTAACAAGCGCATGCCGAAACCGCGGATGGAGCGATCGATGCCTTTTGCATCTCGCCTGCGGCTGCGAATTTCGGAACACTGAGCAGGGCCAGCAGCGTTGCAAACAATGTATATATACAATATATTTCTAACAATTTGTTGTGTCGTTAATAAGGGACCCAGAAGGCAAACTGCGATAATCTGTGGTGCCCCCCTATTCTGCTACGCTCAGCCTGAAGTACCGTTAAAAGGGGGTGCACAACTACTGGCTCGATCGAGGCACAGTGTGCGACGCGTTAAACCACAGCGTGTTGTGTGCCACTGACTTGAAAACGGGCAGCACGGCCGGGCGGAAAAGGACGCCTTGCGTGACACTCCCGGTACGGCCTGTGAGGTCACAAGGATCGAACAAGATAATCCGCGACAAAAACGTCTCAAGAGCAGAAGCAAACATCACGCTACACCCCTAACAACCTGCTGGAATTTCAACTCAGCCAAATTACAAAGAATCGCCACACCTGCATGGTCGCACTGCCCAAGCACAGTTTGCCCTCTCACCAAATCTGGAAGTGCTGACAGACTTCGTCGTCCCAAAGCGGCAACTGTGTTCCAAACCATGTGTGTCTGACCCGCCAAGTTGACTGTCTACGGAGAAACCCCCCCCCCCCAAAAAAAAAAAACAAGCACAGTGTTGCCCCTAGACTAAAACGCTGAAGAAACTTGGCACCGCACATGTTAAAGCTCGGGGACAGAACAGGCGAGCTGTTGAGCGAGAAACGTCTGGCAACTGTGACCTCTGGCATCCTTTGGCCGCGGCCTGGTCTGCACTTCCAAGACCCTGGCACGAGCATGCCTTGTTTGAGGAGGGGTTCACCATCTTGAGGCTGACAATCAGGGGAACCCACCAAACAGAAACGTGAACCGGTGCTGAGCAACTGTAGAGTATAGCATCCACGCCCCCTCAGGGGCCATGGTTATACATGGCCATTGCCCACCAAGGGACGGGACCAAGGGACGGGAATTATTAAACCAAAGCATCCAAAGCCTTGTTCACTCTCTCGGACAATAGATAATATATATATATATATATAACTCTATAGAAATATGTATGTGCATCTATCTCTACATCTATATGTGCATAGTTGTCATAAACATATATATATATATATATATACACACATATTTCACATATATGGCAGACATATCACATACACATATGAGCTACTAACTTCGGGGATGGGGGTTGATGCCGGGGTCAGGTCAAACCTTTGCACTTAGCGATTCCAGGCGTTGAGCGCGGGCCGCCACTCGCTACGCCGCAGCGCCACCTGCAAATCCTGGTCCGTAGCGGCAAGAGAAATTCGCTCCGAAAGAATGAGAAGTCTCAAAGACTATCGAGGTAGCCTGGGTTGAAAATGGGAGGAGTTGATTCATCCACACTTTGGAAGCATAACCCGCATAGGGCTCAAGTGTCCATTTGTTCGCCAACAAGCGGAACAAATGCCCGCCATTCTTTCCAGGGATCCTTTCCAGAACGGCCACTTGACAAAAAAGAGTTGTTTGAGGGTTGAAACGCATGGGGGACGCATTTTGTGGAAAAGAAGTCTTTCGGGGAGATCAACTAGATAAAAACAATTTCTTTGAGGGTTGCAAAGAATGGGGGGCATTTTCCCGGAACTGATTCTCTTTCCTCCAGTAGAGAGGTTAGAATCAGGGTGCCCGACTTTTTCTTCTGTAGTCTATTTTAGTGGGGGAACCCTCTCAACCAAAAAACAGGGGTGAGAGGTCGTGCACCTAGCTGGGGGACCTAGGATTCCAGCACAGCGCCCAGTTGGCTAAGTCCTCCTGCAGCTCTTCTGCCAGCTCGTGAGCACCTTTGCTGGAAGCTCGCAGCCGCGCGTGCCAGCTGCCGCTCTCCTCCCGTGGAAAAAAACCAGCCGCTCCGCCAGGGGTTGTTGGGACACAAAAGGGGAAAAGAAGCGGTTATTTTTGCATGGGCACCGACTTGCAAATTGCTGGTCTGCAGGTGCAATAGATTCAAGGACAGTTTTGGGTAATTTGTTGGACATTGAGGTAAAATCCCTGGACATGCCCTCGGTACACCAACTATCGTATTATTGTTTCTTTTCTAATGACTTTCAAACGACCCCCCAATATCCTGAACCACCTAAGGAGCCCTGGAATGAACCGAGAAACCATGGTTTCAACCATGGCATCATTTCGTGGTGCGAAATGGACTTCGTCCATCCACAGGTGTTCTGAGGATACCCCTAAGAGTTGGTTTGAGGTCAAGACATAAGAAAGGAAAACCACCAGGTGTGGAGAGGCACCAAGAAACATGACATGTTTGAGCGAAATTTCGTGGCGGGTATTTGCCGATGCCTTCATACTCGGCCTCTTCCAAAATGTGTTTGCTTCGGAAGAAACCCGGACCGCACGAATTTCAGGAGCCGCCAGGGAAGCGGGGGATTGATTGATTTATTTTGGAAGCTTCCTCGGATTCGTGTGGTCCTTCGGAATAATCCAAAGTGCACGCTAAAATATTCCATCTTCTTGGACACCCCAGTTTAGCAGGGGCCCAAGACAGACCCTATCTTGTGTTCCTGGGCAAGGTCGGACGGACCTCCTCGCTCGTGGCACAACGACCTATCTGAAAGATAATGCTGTACATGTGGATTTGTCTCTAAATGAAGGGGTCACAAAATGATGTTTTTCTTGTGGTGTCCCTGCAACGCCAACCAACATGGGGCCCCCTTAAAAATGGGTCAATTTAAACTCAGTTTGCTTTTTAGCAAGTGATGTTCAAAGGAAAATATCCCAGCCAACACGAACTCAAAAAAGGGTCCCCTCAAAAAAGACCTCTCGGACCAATCATCAGATTCAAAAAAGGGGAACACCACCCGCCATTTTGGGAGTCCAGTCTGTTCAAAAAAAACACCCTTACGCAAATTAAAAGCTCCACACAAGATAGAACAGGCACCAAGAAGAAGCACTTCCGAAGCACCTTCTTTGGGTGTCTTTTGGAGGGACCCCCAAACAAAAATGGTGGGTTGTCCTGTTGGCCCTGTTGGTACCCGCAAAAAACAAACACAAAACCAGGGGTGCCGACTCAAGAACAGCCCCAGTTTAACACCCACCCAAAAATAACGCCTGGTTTGGGTGTCCTTTTTTTGAGGGGCCCCCCCAAAATGGGATGTTGTCCTGCTCCTGTAAAAAGGGACAAAAAAAACAGGGGTGCCGACTCAAAGACGGCCATTTTGTTGAGCCCCGCCCATCTCCGAGCCTCCTCCTGCAGAAGGTTCTCGCTGAGGAGCAGCAGGCGCTGGGAGCCCAGGGCCACCGAAACCGCCAGGCGGAGCTCTTTGCCCCGCAGCGCCAGGAAGCACCGCTCCTCGATTCGGCGCGTCTCGTTTGCTTTCGCATCGCGCGTGGCACTCGTTGGGAGGAACGGGACGACTCAGATGTAAAAATCCAGATGCCCAGTGGCCATGGGAGGAAAAAACGGGCCTCTTTTTTTGTGTGCTGGTTGACTTGAAAGCGGAACCCTGACCCCCCAAAAAAAGGGCACCACTGGGCAACAGAGCCAAGATTGACGCTCCAAAAAACCGATGGAACAAAACAAACTGGCTGCCCAGGTGGTTTCAAGTTAATTTCCCAAGAAAGGAGCCACACCAGAGTTTGAGAAGTTCTCAACAGCACCCCTTAGTGATTTGGATTGGTTTGGGTGGGTGAAAAAAGAACTGCTAGTTTCTCAGTAGAGAGGATAGAATAAGGGTACTTTTTTTTGTAGTCTATTTTAGTAGGGGAACCCTCCCCAAGAAAGGGTAAAAGGGCACTACTGGAGGACCTAGACTGGGGTTGAATTCCCAAACCACCAATCCAAAACACCAATAAAAGGGTGCCTGAAATTCTTCGACCATGAGACTACGATTGGCCTCGTCATCGATGGAGTTTCTGTGTGTGTGTGTGTGACTTTCATTGAGACTGCTTTGCTAGCAACTTCCCTCATAAACTGTTCAGGGGACCAGACATATCGACACACTATCACCTTCTGGGCTTGTTGACCCTATTTTTTGTTGCTTCGCTTGGTTTCCCCATTTTAAACTTTTCTTGAAAAAGGGAACCTTTCGCCTCAAAAAAGGAAAAAACCTTCTAGGCTACAGTCAACTCTCTTGTGGGATGAGCCGCGCGGTTCCCAGGCATCCCCTGGCTTGGCGGTTAGGTGTTCCAAAGGAGGGCACCAATTACAGACACAAGAGCCAAGGATTCAAATCCAATCCAAGGGTTACCTGTAGCGGTCAAAGATTGTGAAGGGGTCCATGTCCAAAAGGCACCAGGCAAAGTACCATGTCGGCGATTGGGCCAAACCTCCTGAACCCGATTTCTGGCAGCTCGCTCGTTTTTAGAGGTAGCAACGCGAACCGAAAACAGTGCCCGGACTCATTGCTTGGCCAACGCTCAGCCCTAAACCCTATGGGATTTATGTGATTTCCTTGTTCATCATTTCAGATAAAGGGCAAAGATCTTACAATATGTCCAAAACCTGAATGAGCAAAAATCCCCAAGTAAAGGATTTCTTCCCATGGTGAGCTTGTTTTACCTCCGGATCGGTGAGCTCGCATGTTTTTAAGGCAGAACGATGCACAATGGATCCCAAACGTTGACCACTTCCTGAGTGGACTGGCCAAAAAAAGTCTGAAGTTTTCATTTACCACCAAACTAGTCCAAACCCAAACAACAAAATCCAACTCAGGAAGTGTTTGCAGCGGACACGGGAAAAAAAAAACGCGCAAAATGCGGAAGCGCTTGCGCTTGCGCGCGAGCGCGCGCTTGAGCGGAGGCTTGCGCCTCCTGTGCGGCGAGGCTGGTGCTGGTCACGCTCACCGAGCCCAAGGTCCACGAGGCCTTGGGCAGAGACAGGTCCAGCCGCTCGGCCACCTGTCGAACTCAACCCATTTGCGACCTGGAAACGTCCCAAATGCGCAAATGCGTCCCCTGGAAAAACCATGGAACATACCGTGGATGGACGAAATCCTGCACCAAATTGAAACTATGGGAAACCATTGTGTTTTGGTATTTGCGGGGAAATCACAATTTCAGTTTTTCTTAGTGGTGCAGGATTTCGTCCATCCACAGTATGTCCAGTAGTCCTAGGTTCTCTTTTAGAACCGACAGGGGAACCCACCAGACGAGGCTCAAACAACGTCAGGTAGGTTATAACCACAGTTTGTTTAGGGGCCCAGTTCCCCTAGTTATGAGCACGGTTGGAACCTACCTGACGTTGGACGAACATTCAAGAAGGACATGGGTGTGAATTTGAATAGGGGGCCTTCTGGCACGCGTGTACGCACGCAGGCACACAAACACAAACACGCACACCACTTGGTGGATTTATGTTCACCAGCCGGATTAAAAATCAAAGCCACATAGGAACTTTAAGTGGTTTGGTGCGTGGAGTTTAGTTATAAGGTTTCACAAACAAAGCAAGCTTCGTAAGGGTTGCATAAGGGTTGGCAGCTGGTTGAAACTCAGCCTCCCAACTTGGCTCATGAGGAAACACTTGACAAAATTATTGAGAAACTGGGCATCTGCCCGCTCTTCTCACTGACACTCGCTAAACTTCTGAAAACCGAAAGGAACCTTTCAGTGCCGAAGAGTAAAACTGGACATGGAGCTTTTCTTCCTGGGTAGGGTCAGGGTTCCATCTTTGTGCTAGCCCAAGCTAGACTTAAACTGAAGGGTAGGAAAGCCAAGCATCCCTGGGTGCGCCTGGGGTGGTACACTATGAAATCCTGGGTGGGGCAGTCCTCATTTTTTTGTTTGCTCCCGGGTCATGGGTTTGGGCCGGCGTGCAAAAAAACAAATGTAAACGATGTATAGCTGTGTGAACCACCTTTCACTCTCCGTCTCCCAGGTGCCCGGTTCAATTACAGTTTGAGCCTTCGCTGGAAAACACCCAGCCTCTGGCAGAAACGGACCATTCCACCCAGGGCCTAGGCTTGCCCAGCCTGAAACCCGCAGGGCTTTCCTGGCGCCGCCCGAAACCCGAAACCCGGTTTAATCACGAAACCCGCCTTGGCCAGGTTGAAGTTGCGGATGCGCTCCACGAGTCGTAAGGCACAGTGCTCCTGCGGTTGCCGTGCCACCCCTGCTTCTTGGGCCAGATGATCTAGAGTATGTTACATATTTAGTCTACCCGTCACCCAAAACAGAACATATTATACATATATATATATATGAGTTAATCCTTGGTGACACCTTTTGGTTGGGCGACCATCAACTCCTCTTTGTACCTGCGCCCGTGCCTTGTTGGTTGCTGGAGTCAGGGTCAAGTGCAATAACATTTCCATTGCCCCTGCAAAAAATCGGAAATCGCCGAAACCTCTCCGGCCTAGCAAAAAAATGAAAGGATAATTTCCTGGGTGAGAGGGGCAAAGGTGCGGGGTGCCACTGTGAAGTGGTGCGATCTGATGACAAGCCGCGCAGGCCGGCGCAGCCTTCCAAGCCTTTCAAGGTGGCACGGAAAGTTGCAAAGTCAGGAGATGGCTTGCGGCGCTCCGGGTAGCTTCTGCTTCTGCTACTGCTACTGCTCCTACTGCTGCTACTACTACTGCTGCTGCTGCTATTGCTACTGCCACTGTTACTGCCACCGCTGCTGCTGCTGCTACTGCTGCTGCTGCTGCTACTACTACTACCACCACTACTACTACTGCTACTACTACTAATAATACTACTACTACTACTACTACTACTACTACTACTACTACATAAGAAGCAAGAGCAGTAGCAGCAATAGGAGTAGCAGCAGTACCAGCAGTAGCAGGAGTAGCAGGAGCAGCGGTAGCAGCAGTAGTGCAGCAGCAGCAGCAGCAGCCGTAGTAGCAGTAGTAGTAGTAGAAGCAATAATAGTTGCAGAAGCAGTAGCCGTAGCAGTAGCAGTAGCACTGGCGTAGCCATGGTAGTTGTAGTAGTAGAAGTGGAAGAAAACACAGTAGCAGAAGAAAAAGTAGTAGCAGTAGCAGTAGCAGTAGCAGTAGCAGTAGCAGTAGCAGTAGCAGTAGCAGTAGCAGTAGTAGTAGTGGTAGTAGTAGTAGTAGCCGGAGTTTGTCGGAGTAGCAGAACTAGCAGCAGCAGCGGCAAAGACAAACTAGTAACAGTCTGGGATACTCAAATGAATGGGAGAAACGCTGCTACTGTTGGTTGGCAGTCTCGCTCTTTCTCTTTCTTTCTTTTTTTCTTTCTTTCTTTCTCTCTCTCTCTCTCTCTCTCTCCCCTTTCCCTTTCCCTGCAAAAACTGCAGGCCTGCGCCGGCAACCTGCAAAACAAATTACAGTTTGCCGGATTGTCACGGAAGCAAACTACACTTCCGAGTGTCGCAAGACTAGGACTTGGCAACCCCTGTCAGTACAGCCCCATTGCCCCGAGCCGAAACGTGCGCTACCTTCCGCGGACCTGTAGGGCTGCAAAGTTTACAAGTGGATCTGGGCGAACCACATGTTCTGGGGGTTGTACTAACACTCGCACTCAGGGATAGCAGCAGCCATAGCAGTAGATGAACTGTATTTCTAGCAGTCTGCTTACAAAAGCTCGCTCAGTTGGCTCCAGGCACTCAGGAGGTCACGAAGAGATGAGGAAAAATCGAATTGCTAAGGACTGCCTGGGTGGAAGGGGTTCCGCTAACCTTCGGGCGATTCCGCGAACTGCGTGGGGCCAGCCGCATTCCCCTACTAATGTTGACACTCGATTTGTAAAGGGTACCGGAATAATAGAAAGTGTTTTTCCTTATTATGGTTCAAACCCATTGTTTAAGGGGACCAGAATAATAGAAAGTTTTTTTGGCCAGGGGGAAAATTCAAAAAAAATCCACAAAGCAAATTTATATGTTTATTGAAAAAATACCATCCCCCCCCAAACAATCACCCAAAATCCATGTTGACCCCAAAATCCAGCTAGCTGAAACTCTGAAATTTGAAAACCATCCCCAGCCCTGAAACTGCAAACTCTTTATTAAACCGTGCTAAAAAATTGCCAAAAAACAATCAGGACAAGGGTACCCCTCACAGACCCCACAGAACCACAATAATGTGATTGTTTTAGGGTACCACAATAATGGCAAGCCCCCAGCCCCCCCTCCCAGAAAATAAACTATCAGTTGCTTTGCTCAAAAGCATTCCCCTTTCAATTGGTGGCCCACTTGCTTAAAAGCATCCCCTTTCAATTGGTGGCCCACTTGCTTAAAAGCATTCCCCTTTCATTTGGTTGCTCAACCACAGAACCCAAAGCCAGCTGAAACTCTGAAATTTGAAAACCATCCCCGGCCCTGAAACTGCAAACTCTTTATTAAACCGTGCTAAAAAATTGCCAAAAAACAATCAGGACAAGGGTACCCCTCACAGACCCCACAGAACCACAATCATGTGATTGTTTTAGGGTACCACACTAATGCCAAGCCCCCAGCCCCCCCCTCCCAGAAAAAAAACTATCAGTTGCTTTGCTCAAAAGCATTCCCCTTTCAATTGGTGGCCCACTTGCTTAAAAGCATCCCCTTTCAATTGGTGGCCCACTTGCTTAAACGCATTCCCCTTTCAATTGGTTGCTCAACCACAGAACCCAAAGCCAAACCCCCAGTTGACAAGAAGTGGTTGCAATACTAAAGTAGAATTGCAAAAAGGAAGTGGCTGCAATACTAAAGTAGAATTGCAAAAAAGAAGTGGCTGCAATACTAAATAAAGTGGCTGCAATACTAAAGTAGAATTGCAAAAAGGAAGTGGCTGCAATACTAAAGTAGAATTGCAAAAAAGAAGTGGCTGCAATACTAAAGGAAGTGGCTGCAATACTAAAGTAGAATTGCAGAAAGGAAGTGGCTGCAATACTAAAGTAGAACTGCAAAAAGGAAGTGGCTGCAATACTAAAGTAGAATTGGGCCCCAAAACCCTCCATTGTTTGGACGTCCCAAAAGTGCACCCCCATTATTTTGGCGCCTCCATTGTTCAGGGGGGGGGGGGCCCTTTATTAATCAAGTGCCAACATTATTTGCTTTGCCCTGAGTAGCTACTGTTTCTTGCAGCCACCAAAAGCTCAAACAGCAAAAGAGGTGACAACCAGCACATGCCAAGTGTGGGATTTAGAAGGGGAAGCCGAGAACTGGGAAAGAGATCTGCACGAGGCCCTCATCCTTGTGCCCAGAAGTGAACAACCCTCCAGCTTCAAGAAGTGACTAACGTTGACCCCAGATTCAAAAACCAGTCCTAGTAGGGGATGCTCCTGCCACAAAAGTGATTTTCGCCACTAAAAGAAGGGGTTGACTCATCCGCGTTTCCCGTTCTAAAGTCGAGCTCAGGGAGTGAGCTCATGAGCTCAGGGAGTGAGCTCCAAAAGGAAGCGGTCTGGGGGGTGAGAAACCTGTGAGAAATATGGGGACGTGCCGATGTTTCGCGGGCCCCCCAACAAATGACCCCCATGAAATACCACGTGGTCAAATGGCACCCACTCCCAGTCCGGCTTTCAAACCGAACCCCTCGTTACTCCTCCACACCAGGCAGCCACTTGCCCGCCCAGGCGCAATCCAAAGTGTTCTTGCCGAAGAAATCTCGGCCAGGAAGATCTGCTTGTCGCAAGGGGCCGGTGGTCTCCTTGGTTGCATGCATAGGTGTCCTTTTAGGGGAAGTAGCTGGCCGTGGTAGATGATCAAACCACCAGGTAAACCAGGTATCGCCATCTATGTTTCTACCAAGACAACCAAAAAGGACACCTATGGTTGCAGGTCTCAGCATCAAGCTGGTGATTTGGCCATCGGTCAAAATCCAGATCGTACTCCCAGTGACATTCCCCAATCCCCACTAAGATAGGTTCTAAAATTGGTGGTGCACCTACCAAAATGGGATCCCAAAACGGTTTTGACACCACAGCCATTTGGCTTGGTTTGGAGGCGGGGGCTCTCTCAGTATCACGGAAAGGTGTCTCACCATGGTTTCCGCAACCACGCCCTTGCCCACCCCTTTAGGCCCTGTAGGCCAAGTGCCCCCCCCCACCCACAGAAACGCCAAAATAGATCCTTACCCCCAAACAAGCTGTTTTCCCAAGCAGGTTGGAACCCCCGCCCACCCCAAGTGGCCATGGGAAAATGTTGCATTGTTGCCTTAGGGATTTCCAAAAAGCAGTTGAACAACAAATGGGCTCGCGAGTCTCTTTTTAGGGAACCCCCCCAAAAAAAAAGAAGAAGAAGAGTGGTTCCCCTTTTGGTTTCCCCTTTAAAACCACGAAACCAGGGGTACCAACTCCTGGCCAACAAAACAGCACAGTCCCACTTGGGATCGCCTCCTTGCGACCGAAGTCTCCAACACGAAGACCTCCCCACCTCCACCTCCGCCGGCTCCGGCGCCTTCGTTGGCATAGGCGGCGGCGCCCACGGACTTCACTGACGCGATGCCTTGGAGCCAGGTGCCCACCATCTCCTGACGAGGGGCTCCCCCTGTCTTGTGGAAAGTGGCAAGGGCCGTGGTGGAGACCACCAGTCGAATTCTGCAAATGCAACTTGGTTTCTTGGGGGACCGGAAATAAACGGTGATCACCTTTTCGAACCCACAGACGACATATTTGACCTCAGGGAAATCAAAAGCTTCGGCTTTAGGAAACTGAAGCTAGGCTTGACTCCTCTGAGAGTCTCTCATAGGACTCAAACCCTCCTCCTGGTCTCCGCAGCAAAGACAGGGTTCAAATAAGGATGCATCCCCCCCCCCAAAAAAAAAAAAAAGCGTAGGAGTTGGATCCTATCAATCGGTTGGGTGCTTAAACAAACGACAACTTGGCCGGGTCAAGACTCTCAAAGGACTGCGCCCTGGGTGTTACGAAGGTCATTTAGTGCCCGGTTCCTCTAGTGTAATGAATTAAGAACAGGGCCCCTGCTAAGTTTAGTGGGTTCAATGGAGCCCCTCGCTAAACCCTAAGAGGTTAAAGGGACAGCTGGGAGCCACCAAAAGATAAGGAGCAACATATTGAAATGTGGTTTTGAAGTACCCAGCCCATTCCAATCGCTTCGGCCCTTACATCTCGTGGTAATCCTCCGAACTGAAGAAGCCCACGGAGTCCGTTTGCAATGGGCCCAGGTAGCTATATAGTTGTCGCCTTTGGGGTACCCTTTAAGGGTGGATGTCAAGGGGAAACCTGAAGCCCCCCCCCCGAAACCCCTTCCCCCGCCCCATGCATTTTGTTCAGTTGCTTCTTCTTTTTTTTGGGGGGTGGGGGTTCCCTGATTTAGAGACACACCCACATGGCTGTGCTCTTGATGAGCCCATGCTTGCATCAAGGAGCTCTTTACCGGACCCGCCGGGTTCCAGTCATTTGTCGACATGGCCAACCAAACCGTTTTGCGACAATCAATGGGTTCTCGGGCCGAACCTTGTGTTACTGTGGATGTATACCGTTCAGAAACCCTGGAAGGAGTCGATTCCCGAACGTCAAGACGCTAACAAACGTTGTGGTTTCAATTTCAAGTCGCTCTCATTTTGCGGTGCGAGAAGAGGAGCTCGCATGACAAAAGGGTATTCCTAGAGTTGGTTTGAAGCCAAGAGAAGGGAAACCAAGGAAAACCCACTCCCAAACACCATACGATTTCGAGGCAAGAACGTGCATCCAGATAAACATGTTTTTATTTGTTCTGTTTCCCGCTGCGACGTGGGGCTCGGGCTCCCTCTCTCCTTCTCTCCTCTCTCTTCCTCTCTTTCGCTCCTCGACGCCCCAGAGCAAACCCACCTTGGCGCGATCCGGGTAGTGCTGGGACCTCAGGGAGGACACCACCAGGCTGTTCCTCGGCACCCAAGCGGCTCTTGACTTGGACTGCGCCTGGCATGTATCCTTCTAGGTCCTCCGGTAGGAGAGGTTGCAATAAGGGCGCCCTTGTTTTTCTGTAGCCTATTTTAGTGGGGGAACCCTCACCCAAAGAAGTTGGTGAAAGGGCACTACTCAAAAACCTTGTCTTCTACCCGGGTTTCAACTGTGGCTCCGAGGAATGTTGCGGAACAGTCACTTGACATCTGCCCGCTTGCCAGAAAATAACACAACAGGCTCCAAGGGCGCAATGAAACTCCCCACTGTTCAAGGCTTTCCAAAAGTTGAGGAATTACTCTGGCCCCCCCCCCCCCTCCACCCCAAAAAAGCAACTTGTTCCCCAAAAGGTACCCATGAATGTAAGGTTCCAGTTGTTCCAAGGGACCTCCAAGTTGTATACAGCTTCAGTTCTGAAGCCTGAAAGTTGCGAAGGACCTGGGAGATACTGTCCTACAATTCCCTCCGCCCAAAGGTAAGACGTTTCTCGGTTGCTTTCTGCTCACCTGCCAAAAGTTTGACTTTTAGTGGTTTAATACGGAAAACCAATTCATTAGTTGCAAAAAGCTATTCAGTCCTAACATCCAAGGAACATGCACCAAAGTTTCGGTGGGGAGTGTTGATCTCCACCCCCTCCCCCCCCCTCCTCCCCCCCCTCCTCGCCCCCCTTCCCCCCTCCCCCTCCCCCACCCCTCCCCCCCTCCCCTCCCCCACCCCTCCCCCCCCCTCCCCCTCCCCCCACAAAAACAAAGGAACCCTCTGCTGGATTCCGGAAAAGGCTGGCTCCACTGGTCTGGGTTCTCCCGGCACTGATGGGTTAGCTGCATGTTGTTTGATTTTTGCCTGGTTAGTGGAAAACAAAGGGACCCCAAAAAAGCAAAAACGAAAAAGACAAAAAAAGGGAGCTAGTTCTGCGGAAGGTTGGAACTCCTCCAATTCTTTCACTGGTAACTTGAGGACACCCAAGCTGGCACAAAAGGTGGTGAGGCCCTGAGTAACCCTTCACATCCCCCCCGATCCCCTGAGTGAATGGAACCAAGCAATTCATGTCCTAATAAGGACTAGGCGCTCAGGGCATAATGAATCGGTGGCCAACACCACGAAGCACGGAGTTTTAGGAGGCCATTCACCGTGCAGGTTGCTTACTGGATGAAACAATACACCACACCCTCGTGGCAAAAGCAAAGATCAAACAAGTTTGAACAGTCCCATATTGACATAATGAATTAATAGAACGGACAAGCAAGCCAGTCTAAGCTTCTTCGTGTCAAACAAGACCTTGCTGATGATTTCCGGAGATTGGAGTCTGGCATCCTATGAACAGTGAAGAATGGCAGTCCTCATCCAACTTTCAATGAACACATCTTGGCAACCTCCTGCAGAAAAATCAGATCTTAGAATCGTGTACTCACTTCTTGAGTGAATGGGTTTCTGACTGCACCCCTCAGTGGCTGGCCACTACCCCAAAAATCAGCCTCCCTCTTGTTGGTGGTTTGGTTTGGTGGTTTGGACGTGTGGCGAAAAATCAATCCAAGCCCCCCCCCCCGGATTGAAAACCCATCCCGCACACTAAAAGGGGGAAGGTGTCGGGCGCACAAGATTGATCCGGAGTCGCGCTAAGCTTGCTGGTGCGATAGCTAGGGAATGACCTTCCGGGTGCTGGGGAATGAACCCGCAGGGGATGCCACTTCTGGAAACCTCTAGGGCATGGGTTCATTCCATTTCTCCTTCCCTGAATCATCGAACCAGCAAGGGGCCCGCAGTTTCGCTTTCAGCACCTTTCGCGCTTCCGCGCCAGGCCGGGGCTCCAAAGCTCCAGCACGAAGTGATGGCAGTTGAACTCGCTGAGGGAGTACTGCCTGCGAGTGCAGCGGCTTGTTCCCTTGACACTCCCAGCGGTGCCCCCAGACGCACCCTGAGGTTCCACCAAACGCACCTTGAGGCAAAGCGCCTTGCAAAAAGGATGGGCATCTCCTATGGCTTACGGATGGAATACCAATACATTCGAATGGAAATCAAAGCGGTGAGTCATCCGCAACCCCCGGAATCTGTGCAGGGCCCTGAAAGCTTCGAATCTCTTAAAGCTCCGAGACCCAAGCTTTAAGCTGGCCCCTTTGTCAATTTTCGGGGCACAGGCTGTCGCTCTGGCTTCTCAAATCCCAAACTCGTTTGGGGATGGGACCCGGCCGATCCGTTTGCCTCAGCCCCGCGAAACCGGAGGTCCGGGCTCGTGGATTCCAACCTCCCCCATTCGTGTGGCTTCCTTCGGCCAAGCAAGTGGCTGGCTACCCACTAATGACAGGCTTTCGTTTGAGTGGCTTACCTGGCCGAACACCCATTCCACGGCAAACTCCCGAACACAAAAGAAGCTTGTTTTTTTCTACTGGACCGGTCGCTGGTTGCTAGAACGGGTTTCCTCTCGGAAAGGGTTCCGCTGAGAACCATGTCTGGAAGAGTCGGGATTACGACCACCCCCTCGCCAGCGACCAAGGAGAAGAATCCAGACCGGTTTTTTGGAGCGGGTGTGGCTGGAGATGCGGGGGGTTGTTCTGCAGACCCCTTGGCGACTGCATGGGCCCAAAATGGTTGGTTTTGTGTTGGTCCTTCAAACCAACTCCGAGGAGTCAAAACTCCCTACGTCTCCCAACAAAACAAATCCCCAAGCAAAGGACCACATCATGGTGAGCTGGCCACCCTAGGCAAACACATCCATAGAACCTATGCCATTTTGGAGCGCTTGAATGGCTTCCCAAAAGCCAAGCCAAAACCAAAACCACCCCAACCCCAGGCCAAAACGGTATGGCAACTATATATGTGAACCGTCTTTAAACAAAAATCGGGGCCCCCAAAACCACCGTTCTTCTTGTGGCTTCCAACCAAAAGAAGACGACCACCAGGGTCTTCTCAGCCCAAAGGACCATTAAATAAAAGGCGATCACCTTTTGGGTTGCCATGATTAACTGACCAAACTGGAAACACCAAAAGGCTTTTCAGATCCCGTCGATTCGCTTTGAACAACTCCGGCTAAAAACGCACGAGGAAACGCGAGACGCGAGTCGCGAGTCGACTCGTCACATCCCCCGCCTCTGCGCCAGCGCCTGGGCTTCCTGACGGGTGACTCGACGACTCCGTTTCTTCGGATTCCCCTGCGCCGACCTCCAGGCAGTCGAAAGCGCGTATTTGTTTTTCCTTTCTGTAGTTTCGCGCCAATAGGTCGGGCAAAGAAAAACTAGTCACAAAATGATTTTATTTGTTTATTTGCTAAACTTGATCAAAACTAAGACATATGATTGACAAAAGATGTTATATTTACCTGTTAGAACCTTCTGAAAGAAGGTTAAAACCAAGGCTTGGGCCTCGGACCCCAATTTGGATACATACGTCTGGACTCCGCAGGTCCGTACGAAGGCTCGGGCTTCTCTTGGCACAACCAAAAGAAGGCTGCATGTAGAACCTGGGCTGGAATTAATTAGGCCGCCAGCAACAAAAGTTGACCTTTTTTGCCTCCGTGGAAAACAAAAAACAACCCCAAAAAAGCAGAAAAGCAAAAAGGGGAGCTAATTCTGGGGAAGAAACAAGGGGCCTCCGGAGAAGTTGACCTCCCAAATTGGTGGTTTCCTTTTCGATGTCCTTTGGGCTTTCATGGCTCCAGAAAAATTGGACTTCTGGGTGGTGTCCCTTTGGTGTTCCCGTGGAACATCAACCTCCGACAGCAGTTTCAATGACGTCCCGTGCAGAAAAATGACTTTAATACCGACCCAAACCGGTCAATTTAATCTGGGTAGATGATTCTACTTCACCAACCGAAAATAAGGGTTACTATCATAAGAAAACCATGTGGTCTAAACAATGGTGGCTTTATATCAACTTGTTTCAGCAAATTGGCCCAACGGACAAAGGCCACTTTGCTAGAGGCTCAGTCAAACCCCAGTGCCAACCGGGACTTCCATTAGCTTGCTGCTAATTGTTGTGTGTGCTCTCCCCCGTTTTGTGGAACAACTATACTGACTGTTGAACATCTCGCATTGTAAAAAGGCGCCCTGGGCAGATGGAAGCACATGATAAGGTACCGTCTCGCAGTACTCCCTTGCCAGTTGACGTGGCTTGCCAGCAAAAAAGGAAGCTAAACACATTTCCAGTAGTGATTAGATTCCCTTTACAACCAGCATGGGAATGGACATGGAAGCCCTTCTAACGTGAGCAGCTGTGTGCGTCATTTTTGGAGTTGGTACCCCCTTTTTGCTTGTGGTTTTCAAACCCAACAGGCAAACCCCAAGCCTTTTTGTTGTGGGGGGGGGGTCCTACTTTCTGGAGAAAAAAACCTGGAGCTCCGATTCCTCCAAGCAATCAGGAACCACACCGAACTGGACCGGTCGACTGCCCGGCCCGTTTTTGGGGTCCCAATTTTTTCAGCACCAGACAACTGCAGACTGGTCCTACACTTTCCTTTCCCTTTGCCAGGGCCCCATTTTGAGGTCACCCGGTTTGTGATAAATCCACGCCCTTTTTTTTCCCCATTTTTTTCCCGGTCCTGGCGCAGAGACTCCGCTGTCAGGGGCCTGGACAAGTCGTTGGCCGTGGCGACTCTGCCGTCGTAGATGGTGCTGTTGGAGTCGAAGAAGCGCGAGTCGGAGCCCCGAAGCCGCCGGGGGTCGAAGAGCAGCTCGGTGTAGCCTGGAGCGATGCGACCCATGGGTCTTTGAGGGGGTGGGAAAATGGGGTGTGCTTTAAGAATAAAAATCCACCCCAAAAAAAACACACACACACACATTTCCATTTCCAGTAATGAAAACAGCTGAAACAAAGGCTTGTTTTGGAAACCTGAGAAACCCTTGAGCTCGCTAGGAACCCTATGGTTTTCTATCGAACCCTGAGGAACCTTAAAGAACCACAATAGGATTCTTAGGGAACCCCGAGAAACCTTGAACACACCCCCTTGCATCAGCTTGCGGTATGATTCACAAGTTATGATGCATTGCCTTTGACACAGTTTGTTTCATACAGTTAAGCCACCCCCTAATAAAAGGACAAATCTAAAAATGCGTGTGAAAACAGTGAACACCGTCCAATACTGAAAATTGCTCATTAATTGTTGAAGCAAAAACAAAATCTTTGTACTTGTGCGCTGGCTGGCTTTAGAGCCAGCCAAATCTGAGGCTTCCTCATCAGCTGCGCAAACTGCCGTGATTCACAAAACACGCTCACACGCACTCGCTTGTCTGCAACTTGTGATCATTTCCCGTGAGCAACCGCGTTGTTTGGCATGGGGTTTCTCTCCGGGAAGCGAAGGAAAGCTGGTCTGCTCTCATAAGCCTCTGAGCACCTTTAAAATGAATAGATTCGACTCCTTCCGAAAGGGAAGGCAGGCTGGAATGTTTTCCTTTCAGCCCGAAATGGGTGTGTCTTAAAAGTCTCAAAGAAATCCCCCCCAAAAAAGTACCCTCAAAAAAAAGACCAGCAAACATGTGGTCCGATGGACGGCAACCCCCAAATCCACGTATTCGGCGGCCTTGATCTGCATAGATCTCCACCCTCATGCGAGTGCCATCGAGCCTGAGCGAGCCGTGCGCCGTGCTTGGGCCCTTGGGCCCTTGGGCTCAACATGGCTTCGCTTTGAACCAAGCGTGACTTCCTTCGGCTATAAAAAAAAGAGGACACTTACACGCAAAGAAGCCGTGCACTGTGAACAATGCCCCCCAAAAAAACATACATCTCCATCCAACTGGGCTTCCGTTTAGGGCATCCCCGGAGTTGCCTTGCCCGGAAATGCATGAAGTTGAAGGAAAGGTTGTAGAAAGCATTTCCGGGTGCGGGGAACTGCCGAAAACAAGAGGTTCTACACCCAACAAAAGGGATATGCGTGTTTCAACAGTGCAGCCAGGCAAGGCTTGAAAGAAAGACCTTTGTGGCCTCACATCCTAAGCCTGCGGCCACCTCCAAGAGAAAACTAAGTTTACCCACAGCCCCCGAGGTTTGCCGTCACCCCCTAATCCACGCTTGTCCTGCCCATGCCCAGGTGACTCGAGTTCCTGCAGCACGTGGTTCAAGTATGGCACCCTTTACTAGTCAAGTAGCAGAACTCGTGCAGCCATATTTGACACGTGGTGACCTCCGTTCTCTTCAGAACGTAGGGCCGTGGTACCGCGAGGGCGTGGGTGGCAGGCAGGTTCAGGGTTTTAGGTTTAGGGTTTAGGTTTCGGTTTGGGGCTTTATGGTTTTTAGGGTTTAGGTTTAGGGTTTTACGGTTGTTGGGATTTAGGTTTAGGGTCTTTAGGGTTTAGGTTTTAGGTTTTTAGGGTTTAGGTTTAGGGTTTTTAGGTGTAGAATTTTTGGGGCTTAGGTTTAGGGTTTTTAGGGTTCAGGTTTAGGGTTTTTAGGGTTTAGGTTTAGGGTTTTTAGGTTTAGGGTTTTTAGGGCTTAGGTTTAGGGCTTTCAGTGTTTAGGTTTAGGGTTTTTAGGGTTAGGTTTAGGGTTGTTAAAGTTTAGGTTTGGTTTTTAGGGTTTAGGTTTAGGGTTTTTAGGCTTAGGTTTAGGGCTTTCAGTGTTTAGGTTTAGGGTTTTTAGGGTTAGGTTTAGGGGTTTTATGGTTTAGCTGCGCTTGGCTTTACGAATCGTGACAAAGTAACAGCAGTGGCAGCGCAGACAAAATGCTTCAGGCGGGTCCGTGATCTCCGGGTCTTGGTGTTGGGGCGTTGGTTCCGGGCGCCGGCAAACCTCAGGGGCTGGCCGTAAGTTTAGCCCAGGGGAAACTCAGCCTTGGGATCCCCAAACATCCGTTGACTTCAGCCAGCAGCGCCCATAAAACCTACCCTCCACAGGAGGGTCCGGTACTCCATGTTAATGGAAGCAAGGGAAAGCCTTTCAAAAGCACCGGTGAAGGCTAATGTCCGATCCAATGCTAAGATTGAATGAACCAAAGGCAAGACCACACTGATCCAAGATCCGCCTATAAACTAATTCCCAACTTTAAAGGGTGCAACAAAGGGGAAACAGCTCTTATTAGTTTGAGCTTGTTATCAAACTCATAGAAGCCAGCCAGGGCTTGTCCACTCTATCTTACTTCAGCGTGCTGCTTTGATACACAGTGTTGCAGACACTGGCACAAGTGTCTAAGACATTTGGGTCATCTTTTAGAAAAGGGGCACGCGGCGCAAGGCCGGTTGGACTGTCCTTTCACAAGTGAAGGAATCCCCTTTCGAGCGGGTGGAAACCCCCTTTCAAGCCCTTTTGGTGACCAGGTGCTGGACCAGTCCATTAGGCCCTCAGGGGGTTCATGCAGGGATTCAGGGTAAGCATACGCCAAGGATGAACCCAACAGGGGCCATAGAGCCCCAGCCACTCGAGGTTCATGAACAAATCAAAATAGCCGGTAACGTGGATGAATAAACCAGCATCGGTCGGAATGTTGAAGAATTCTGCCATTCACTTTCAGTCAACTTGCTTTTCTGAACCCGTGGCAACTCGTAGTTTCTTGGGGGGCCGGTCTCTCCCAATTCCGCCATAGTTGCTTTTTGAGAAAGCGCTGCCGTGCTTCTTTTGCCGAAGGGCAGGCGTAGCTCCAGCCACGAGTGCGAGGTGTAGCCCCGGCTCTTCTCATGCCGCACCTTCCGAGGCGCCAGTGGACCAAATCGGGACCCTGTCTGACCCTCTTTGGACCTGGATCACATGTTGGATCGCCAAGAACCCAGTTGACCTGACCTGCCCTCAGGCCCCCGGCTAAAAGTTTCACCATGTAGTGGGCCTTTACCCTGAAAACCCGAAAAGGGTTGCCGTGACGGGTTCCCTATGTAGTGGGCTAAACCCTGAAAACCTGAAAGGCGAGAGGTAAAAGGGATGTCGGCTTGGACCTGGATCGTGTGTGAAATTGCCGCGACGGGGAAAAATGGCAACGCCGAAAAGGGGAAACCAAACGGCCGAAAGGTTGCGCTTTGGGCAACCCTGCTTTTGGGGCCCAGGTGTAAGGTAAAAGGAGGTCAACACACAGGTTGGGGGTGAAAAGACGAGGTCCGCCTTCAAAGCTAGCAGGCCCGCAGAAAACAAAACAGAACTATACATGACCACACAACAAGAATTCGACAAAATTAGCAAGGACAGTGAAGCTTTGCACCCCACGTGAAATCAACTAACAAGCATAATTGTGAGTGTCCCGTAAATATCCTTGTTTTAAAGGGCCTAGAAGTCTTCTGCGGCTTGTGAATGAACACTCTCCCCGTGACCATTCACAGGCAACCTCCGCAAGCGTCATCGGAAACCGTCGTAAAACAACAAATGAACCAACAAACATGTGCTTGTTGAGGGGCCTGGAAAGGAGTAGGTACTGGGTGATGCACCAAACTCAAGAGATGCCACTGTGTCAGCGGGAGAGACATTTTATTTATCAACGGAATCTGGAGATCCAATCCAACATCTGGAACCAGGAAAGACCGCAGTTTGTCAGCTAAACTGGGCAGTCCTCAGATCCCCTGCTAACAGTTGAACTTGTGGGTTAAACGGACGCACAACCACCAAACCAAAAACAACCAAACGCCTCAGGAACCGGACGGTGAACCACCAAGTAAAATCATCCAAACCCAACAAGTACGGACTCCAAGTTGGGGGGCGGGGGGGAGTGTACAAAGCGGGGTACGTTGAGAGCCCTACAAATTACCTTGGGGTTTCTTAGGGCGCCCACTTAACCCACAAGTTAAACAATTAGCTTGGGATCAGGCAGCCCAAAAAAGTTAGAGTTCAGCGATTCAAGAAACAAAGGAATGGGCAGAGTATGGTAAATGTGGGGTAAACTTGGGCACATTGCAGTCCAAGTGTCCCACTTGCAATGGTGGGCCGCAGGGGTCCTCACATCGCTTACTCATACGCCTGAACATTGCAACTTGTCTATTTGGTGGTTTCCAACTTTTAACTTTGGTTGTCGAAAAAAAAAAAAAAAAAAAAAACACTCCATGTTTCAAATGGTTGCCAAAATGAAACTCAGTTGCCCAAAGGACCTGGAACTAAAAGGTGATCACCTTTTGGCGCCATGACTAAATATGGTTGCCAACATGGGAAAACTAAAAGGTCAGTTCAGGTCGATTCGCTTTGAAGAACTGAGGAAAATCAATCCAAGGAGCCCCGGTTTCGGGGGCCTCGGGCCACCCCGTTGACGTCCCGCCTTGCGCCATTCCACGTGCACCACCCGGGTCGGCTCCTGCCTGAGACGGACGCCGAAAAACGAAGCCGGAGCCGGAGCTGAAGCGCTCCGGTGGCGGCTTGCCAAAGAAAAAAACCGCCCCAACATGGACACGCCTGCAAGAAACAAAAGACCGCCTCTTTGGTGGTGCTCGCTGGTCTTTTGCCCAAAGTTTGCTTTAAGAATCCCCCCCCAAAGAAAAAGAGGAAAAAACCATTCCTTCGGGACACGCCCGGTCTGTGGCAGGTTTTTTTCGGGAATCGTCTTGATGTCCCTGCTGGTTTCTATGACATAGACACGCCGACTTGCGAGGGGAGGTCCTTGGCCCCACGTTGCTGTCGCCCCTTGCTTCCTCCTCCTTGGGTTGTGGCTTCGGGTCTGGTTTGGGGAAACGGTCTGAGGGAAGCTTGGGGGGGTTGCGTCAAAAAAAAAGTGGCGATGTCTTCTTCGCAGAGTCTGGTGCGCAAGCTCAAACACCGCAATACCACTTTCCGCAACAAATGACACAACGCAGTGATTCGGAGACTTGGAGCAACATGCTGACTTCCTGGTGTTGACTCGTGGGCTCAGAGCACAACAGCCGTATTTTGGATAAAGCGGTAATCACTGTACACTGACATGTCACGCCAGTTCAGCGGTCACGTTGCGTTTCCCCTGGCCGAAGACAACGAAGCATACAGCATTTTGCCAGGAAAAATCCCCAAGGTTGACAACTGGCCTGAGAAAAAGGTCCATAGACTTTTGTAGGGATAATTTGGACAAGCCAAATCTGTTTCCAAACTGTCCTTTTAACTGGGCCTTTGGATTCGGTAACCATGCCACGAATCCATCTGGCCAATGCGCTTGGCACGCCATCAAGGTGCAGTTTTCAGAAGCAAAGCGAGCACACGAGCCTTTCAGTAGGGACAGAACTAGCTGGCTGACCTAAGCAACCTCTTGCTCAGTGATCTTGGTAGCAAACTGCCTTGGCCGGTTACTTGATTCCATTGCCAGTGGGCTCCAAATCCAAACAAAGAAGGGGACGACAGTTGCCACTTGTAGTTTCCCGGCGAGCTTGTGATTTGTGAATGGTGATGTCCCTTAGTTACCTGCTTTAGCGGCCCAGATTTAGACCCACTGCCCGAAAATCAACTGATTGCCGGTCAAACTGCGAACATGTATGGTGGTGCTCACCCCGAGCTCGCTAAAAGTGCAGAATGCTTTCCCCCTTAGCGTGACAAGTTGGGTGCCCCTGAACAAATCCCAGGATGCTACGCAAATGATTTGGCGTCCTTCGGTGCAAACGATCGGAACGTTCGCGGACCCGCGAGTAACTGGAAGGGCCGGGTTAGCAAAACCCGGTGGCATCTCAAGCTGAGCCGCATCCATGCCACATAATCCTCCGCGCAATCGAAGCAGGCACGCTGCATGGCGATGGATCATCCCTTGGCCATGTCTGCCCCAGGTTGTCGGTCGGCGATGGATTGTCAGAGCAAGGGGGCTCTTGGTGGGTGTTCGAGCCTGGGCACATGTGTTAATTCTAAATTCTGAGGACGCGCTCAGCCCAACATGCCCAGAATATGTGACTTATCGAGGCGTCAACCAAACACGCCTTAGGGCACTGCGAGAGATCTGGCCCTCGGCCTCATTGCTGGGCATTGCTGGCAGATGTGGATGCACAGGGCCTAAGGCTGCCCTCGAGTTCAGGGACTACATCTGAAAACGGCGGCAAGGACCACGTTGAGATCAAAGAAGCCATTCGTGAAGTGACACCTTGCTACACCCAACAATCATGCAAGTGGACGAGGAAAAGGACAGTTTTCCAAAACCCTCCTGTCAGCTTCCATGATTGTTGGAGGGAAGGTAGCGTTTGCAGCCCATTGCCTGAGCTGGTTGCCTCATACTGCATGTGTCCAAACTCTTCCCCGCTTCTCAGGAAGTTTAACAAATCTTACTTGCCCTGTGTGAACCCAGGGTAGCTGAGATCTTACCTTGGTTATCAACAAATTGCCTTCAAATGATAAGTTCAAACAGTCATTCCGGGAAACAACAAACCAGTTCACCAACTAAAACCGAGAAATAGACCCCTGGCATTGATTTAAGCATCTGGAGGGACGGGTTCACAAACAAATCCCAAATGAACATAAGCAAAACCGCAAACATCATACATACACATGTGGCTTCCATAACGGACATGGGAAATTCAAGGTACGTAGTGAGTCTCCCTAGTTGTGGTTGCAATTCGGAGCTTGCGCCCCCATGCCAATGCCGGGCCGCAAAATGCAAATAATCCAACATAACCCAGGTTTGGGAATAGGCTGAAATGGGGTGATTACCTGGAGGGTGTAATCGCAGGGTGTGATACGAAAACCCTTGGAGCTTTGGATGCAACGTTTTTCACCCCATGAAGCCAATCTTTGCAAAGAAGCATAGAAGCATCGGGACCAACTCACTTCCGATGCATTGGACCGGCCAAGAAGTCCACATGCGCCCCGAAAAGTGGCTGAAGCAACTTGCGTGAACCCAGGAAGTGAAACTGGTCTCATTCGCCCGACCCGGAAATGCAAGGTTCACCTTTTGGGTTGATGAAACATGGACCAAATCTTGGGAAATTACAAGCTCATCTCAGGTCAATTCGCTTGAGGCAAGTGAGAAGGTTAAAATGGTCTTGGACGCGAAGAAATGACGCACACTCCGATGCACTCCGCTCCGCACCTCTCTCTCGCCCTTGCGCTGGATGTTCCCCAGCTCACGCTCCTTAGATTCCCCGATGTTCCCGAGGTAGGGGGCTTTCTTTTTGAGGTTTGCCTTTTGGTTTTCCTTCCTAAGCAAAACAACACCCATAGATATTATGCAGTGGATGGGCGAAATCCACGCCAGGATCGTTGGTTTAGCCTTGTTTTAGGGCTTTATCTATCCCAACGGGTGCAGGATTTTGTCCATGCGCAGTATGATGGGCTGGATGAGTACTAAATGCTTGCAAAAAGGATCTAGAGGGTGGGGCTAAATCATTTCCCACATGTTATTTTTGGGCAAACATTCCATGTGCCGCCCTGCAGAGTGTCAGGGAGAATGATGACTCGTTCCTTCCCCTTACCCCTTTGGTCATGACCATATTACTCTTTTTGAGGGACCTCACAAACCCATTCTAGAACCACAACTTAGGCAGTATATGAAGCTGATCGACAGGTTGTCAAACGCAAAAAAGGGGTGTCCTTGATCAAGTGGGGCCTATCTAAAGGGGGCCAGAGTCTCCTCGTATCTTAAGGTGGGAGCGGGGCGTTCACGCTGGGACCCTCAATTCGATTTATCCAGAGGGGATTCCTGCTTGTGCCGGAGCAAAATCCCTGGGACCTGGAACTCAGGGAGTGAGACATTCCCCCGTCCCCGTTCCTTATCAGGGAGGAAGGGCTCCCAAAGAGGGTCCCCCGGGTCAACATTATCCAGGGCTGGTGGGGAAAACCCTAGCCATGTGCCTTATTGTGCGACCGATTCGTTTTGCATGGTGGGCCCCTGTTTGGACCCTGCCGCCTTGTCCCCTATGCGGGAGTACCAAATCGGGGGCCCAACAAACGGGCTTCCACGCTGCCGTTGCACTGAGCAACCTTGGGCACTCCCCCCTATCTGCCTGAGTGCGGCACTAACACGCTTGCCGGAGCCTTAGATTTCGCAGCGCTGCATCTCCAATGTGTTCCTCGTCCGTCTTTCCCAGGAAAACAGTCTGCAACGCCCTTCTGTCAGCTTCAATGAGTGGAGGGAAGGTAGCCTTTTGTGGGTCGGTTTAACGGACAAACACAAATGGGGTTCATGGTGATTGTGGGTTTAATGTGTCCAAAGCTCAAATTCTGATTTGGTCAGAAAGACCCGCCATGGGCGTTGCAAACCAATGCCCAGCGAGTCTGCAACAAAACGGTCACGAGAACTGTTTTAGCAGAACTCTGTGTAGGTTGTGGCGCTATTGAGCACTTTGCGCCAAGCGCCAAACGAGCAAATCATAGAGGCGCATATTTTATCTGCACTCATACATTCACTGCAAATCAGGAATCCGCAAACCTTCGTGGAGCTCGGTATCTATTCGCGTAGACTTGTTTCCAGTTGCCCAGTGGCCCTGGTGGAACCAGGGAGGGGGTGCCCTTTTTGGGATTGACCAACTGTTTTGCGTCTAACAAAACGGAAAGAAATATTGGGACTACTTTAACAGAACTGCCCAAAGGCCCATAGTCAACGGGGTCTGCTTCAGTGACAAAATTCGGAAGTCTGGGTTGGACTTGGGTGCTTAGGGGGAAGGGGTTGCCCTCGAGCCGGCAGCACGCTCAGGGCCTCAACATCTACTTGGCCAAATGGATCCTACCCCGTGCCAAAAAATGATCACTTTTTGCTGGTGACAACTTTTTGCTGGCTGGGATGGAGCATGCAGGAAACCCGAAAGGGCAAAAGGACAAGAACCTCATAGGGTCCAACCAGAAAAATGGGATTGGGATTGGGGTACGTTAAAGCCATGCTCAGTCATGGTCATAAGAGCAGCTTGCGTTTCTATTTCCTTGGGATCTCAAAACATATAGGGGGGGGGGGCAAAGACTGGGTGGGCTCTCACGTGGGTTTCCCTTTAAGCCCCAACAAAAAAAAAATCCCATGCACACACACCCCACCCCCAAAGGCCCGGGCTGTCACCGCGGAGACGCTGTGCCCGCCGGAAGCCGGCTCCCGGATGTCCCTAAGACGACGTTTCTTGCCGGGCGCTCTTTTTGTCTCTCCCCCGGGGAAACCCGGGGTTGAAGTCGCCCTTGGGGTCGTCAAAATAGGGAATTTCTGTCCGCAAACATGGAACCTCACAAAGAAGGTCCTGGAAGACCATTGGGAGTCCCTAGTCTGTTCGATGCTTGCTAGGTCCTCCAGTAGAGAGGTTGGAACAAGGGTACGCTTTGTTTCTGTAGTCTATTTTAGCAGGACACTACCAGAACCTTGCAGGGCATCCTGGAGAATTATCATTGGGGGACTTTTTGGTGAGAGCAACTCTGCACAATTCCTCCCCTGTGGTTTAGTCATCCATTCTTTCGGCTAGGGATTCTGATTGCGAACTACTTCCACGGAGTGGGAATTTGATTGGCTATCCGATGTCCCTTCCAGATGGTGCCCCAAAAAAGGGTAAAAGGGCACCACTGGAGGACCTAGATAATGTTGACCCAGATGCGTAAACCCGTCCCACTCATACGGGATTGTCCCTGTCCCTGCGTTTAGCGGGGATTCATCACGCTAGAAGAACACCCCGCCCCATCAAATCAGTATTGAAGTCCTGAGCCGCGGCACAGCTCTGGCGTCGGAACCCCAAACCACCTCCATCCCGCAAAGCTCACAAAAACCATCCCCAAAATCCCTCAAAGGGGTCCAAAGTGGCCGTGGCTTCAGATGTGGACAGACTCTGGGCGAAATCTATTTTGTACCAAGTTGACCCTGGTTGAAACCATTGCCCTGTCGGTACTTGGGGAATCTAATCCTTCCAGGGTTTGTGAACAGTGGTTACAAAATGGTTTTCGTCCATCCAGCGTACGTGAACGCATAAGCCTCTGACAAACTTGCCGGTGCTCAAGAACTTGGGAATGAACCCTTAAAGGACGCTATCCAGGAGAGTTTACTGGGCTGCACTCAGATCCCCGCTAAAAGTGACTAACTTTTAGTGGCTGGGAGCCACCAAGTTTATAGGGGTCACTCCAACTCATTCCCCGCTGAGAACCATTCAGAAAAAGCTACATGTCTCAGGCACAGACCCGCGCGAGTCTGAAGCCTCGGTGCGGGCCGAGGCAACTCATGGAAACCCTAGGCGAGCGGTGAGCCTGGGCGCACAGAAAATCAAGCGTTCAGATTCTGTCTTATACTTACTGGTCCTCCAGTAGAGAGGTTAGAATAAGGGTACCCTTTTTTCTGTAGTTTATTTTAGTAGGGGAACCCTCCCCTAAAAAGGGGTAAAAGGGCACTACTGGGGACCTGGTTTAGCCTAACCTAAAGATTCATAGAATTGGAGCAGACCCAGAAAAGTAGTTGGAGCCTACTTTTCTTGGCTGAGCATCTTTCGTGGGGGAAGCCACCGCGCAAAAAGGGACAGCGGGAAGTCGGTTTCAGTGGCCACTCAAATTGGGGCCCAAAATGGCTTGGTCTCCATGTGGCTTCCCTACCATAAAAGGATCCCCCAACAGGGCAACTTACGTTGCCTCACCTCCAAAGTAGCTGGACATTTCTGGACATCAAATGAAAGGAACACCCTTGCTTGCATGTTCAAGACTCCCGGTACGCTTGCTATAACTATGGTTACAAAGGGGCTAGCCTCGGTTGCCCGAGTTGCAACCTTGATTGTAACCTACTTACCTAAGTTGGTTGAACATCCAACATCGGGACCTGGACTCAAAAAGTAAACAGCGAAAAACCAATGGTTAAAATCTTGGCCGGCTTTGGGCCGTTTCCCACTAAACCGGGCTG